AGCCGAGCGGGTCCCGCTTGGCCTTGTGAGGTTTTGCGCTGCCGTTTCCCTTCGCAGGGGGGCTGGCGTCTGAGGGCCAGGGGAAGGCCTTGCAGCGGGCTTGGAGTCTGGCCCTACACTGACTGGCAAAGCTGCGCCTGACCTGGGGGTGATAAACACAGGGGGCTGGGGTAGCTCAGCCCCTGCGCGGGGTGATCCCCCCGCTCCACAGATAACTCCACTTAAAGGCTGTGTTTTGTAGGGAGAAGCTCCTTTATCATCGTTTCTGTCCCCTGAATCTCTTGTTAAAAAGTTGCCTTTTAAATCAAGCCTGCTTTCTGTTGAAATGATACTTTTTTTTTTTTTAATTAATCCATTCAGGATTTTTTTTTTGTTAAACAGTACTTTGAACAGGGCATATCTGTTATATTCTAAATAAACAGCGTGCTGTGGGAGCCGGAGTTCTTGGTAGTGTCCGTGCTGGATACGTAAGACAGAATCCCCGCTCTTGCTTGTTTTTCAGATTTTACTGAGATGATGAGGGCGCTGGGGTACCCCCGACTCATATCGATGGAGAATTTCCACACCCCAAACTTCATGCTTGTTTCCGAGGTGCTTCTCTGGCTAGTGAAAAGGTTGGTGATTCGGCTGCCAGATGTTGGGGCTGGTGCTGGGGTGTGAAACGTGTGTTTGGAGCTGACGTTTTGCTGTGAAACCATATTGACTTTAAAGAGGGAAGTAGTGGTATTTAGTCTTTCTTTTAAGGTCTACTCTTCTAATTATCGGATAGAAAATGTGGTAGTTAAGTTTGCGGGTTTTTAGTTTAATTATACAACAGCAACAACTGAAGTGGTTTAGTAGCTGAAGAAGAAAATACAACACCTCAGTCCTGGCAGAGGTTGCATCCCAAAGGTGGACGTACTTAGAATCATAGAATGTTTTGGGTTGGAAGGGACCCCTAGAGGTCACCCAGCCCAACCCCCCTGCAGGAGCAGGGACACCTTGAACCACAGCAGGTTGCTCACAGCCCCGTCCAACCTGGTCTGGAATGTTCCCAGGGATGGGGCCTCCACCCCCTCTCTGGGCAACCCGTTCCAGTGTTCACCACCCTCAGTGTAAAGAATTTCTTCCTTAGATCCAGTCTAAACCTACCCTGGTTTAGTTTAAAACCATCCCCCCTTGTCCTGTCACAGCTGGCCCTGCTAAAAAGATTTTCCCCATCTTTCCTCTGGGCTCCCTTTAAGCCCTGAACGGCTGCAATCAGGTCTACACACAGCCTTCTCTTCTCCAGGCTGAACAAGCCCAACTCCCCTCAGCCTGTCCTCATAAGAGAGGTGCTCCAGCCCACGGATCATTTTAGTAGCCCTCTGGACCCACTCCAACAGTTCCATGTCCTTCTTATTCCGAAGTAGCCGTATCTCTTTCACACATTCTACAAAGCTCCATTACCATTCTGCCTGTACCTGCCCTTGTACCCCAAACAGGGTGATACATAGTGAGAACTTGCCAAGATACAGTTAGTTCTTACCTTGTTGCTATACCTGTTACTGGTTCAACCTGCTGGTGTCTGGCCTCCATGCCGTGTTTAAAAAATAATGCTACAGTACCGGTCTACTACTATCCAGTTGTAGTTGTACACCTGCTTAACCTGTTGACGGACTTTGGTTCAATATTCATGAAACTTGAGGTGCTAATCTCAATTATACATAATCTTCTTTCTCCTATGTAAGTGAAAAAATAAACTTAAGTTTTTTAAGCTCCTCATCAGGTAGAATATTATGATTGAAAATATGACAGTGACCCGTTTGCCCGATTGCTATTTTTTGGCCTAGAGTCATAATTAGTATCCATTAAGTTTAATTACCAAGCTGTTTGTTAGAAATCTGCTGAACACTGTTGCAATTGTAATAAAACAGGGAAATACTTACAGCCATTCCAAGTTACTTGGACTAAGTGACCTAAATAGTCTTTAAAATACTGCTGTTACGCCAACGGTCTAACTTTCTGGTCGTTTTCAACTCATGTAAAAACATGAACCAGAGCCCTTCCCAAGTATGGAACAATAAAATAACAGACTAACTGAAAGAAACTAAAAATATTGTTTTAAAAATACATTTCTCTAATGAACCCAAACACTTTTAAAAGCTTAAACTTCTGTGGTATAAGATTACTGGGAACCATGTGCCAAATAGTGAAGGGCTTCGTGTTCAGACCAAACAGCAGCTGAACACTGGCATCCTTTTCTGTTCTGGGTCAGGATTACACCTGACACGGGCAGACAGCTTTTCCAGCTTCTAGAAGCCTTTTAAGTACATTTTAAAGCAGAGGCTACTTTGCATGTCCCTTGCTTGTAATTTCAAACATGATTTGAAAGCGAAGGTATCTGAGTGATGAAAATCTCAAGGCTTTTCATGAGACTGGGAATTTACTTTTTTTTTTTTTCTTGCCTGGTTCCTGGAGGCTGGTGACTCCTAGATGTTTCTGCATTTTACTAGTGGTTTTTTAAAGCGTTTCACCATCTTCCAATTTGCTTTCTCATCAGTTTCATTTATTTTTGGAAGTAACATGTTTGAAATGATGTGTGAGCGTGAACTTTTCTTGTGTCATAACATTTTAAAGGTGGCTGGTTTTGTTATTGCCAACAGTAGTAACCTAGTACAAGTCATTTCAAGGTACCTGGGAAAGACTGGGAGCATTCACTCAGTTGTATGCCTGGTGTTTTAAATTGTGAAGCCACACGTGATTAAGTTGAGTTTGATTTATATAAGCAGCTTGCTATGGAAGTAGTAAATTACTTCTGAAAAGAAGTATTTCACAGACTTGATTGGGCCACCAAAGTTCTGCTCCTTTGCGGAACTGGCTGAAAAGGTGTGTTTGGGATCCCACGGTAACAGTTCCTTCTGGAGAAGCGTCTCGGGTTTTACAGCTTTGGCAGTCTGTACGCAAACCCACTGCGTGCGTTCCAGGGTCTGGGTGCCCCAGTCTGCAGCACGAGCTGAAGACTTATGTTCCAGTCTACGTGCGTGCTTGTTCTGTTTGATTTTTGCCTCACAAATGAAGCAGTCTCTTTACTACTGTACATGTATTTCTTGTCAGAATCTACACGTGCTTCTTTCCACAGGTATGAACCTCAGACTGATATTCCTCCTGATGTGGAGACAGAACAGGACCGGGTTTTCTTCATTAAGGCGGTGGCTCAGTTCATGGTAAGCCTACCTAAGAAGTCGTGCTTAAGCACATTGCAATACTGGTTCCGTATTAACTTTAATGCTTTCTCTCTCAACCCCTTATGTTTTCCTTGCAACGGGTGGCTGAGTATATATTGTATCTTTGCACTGTATTGTATGTCTTGTGCTGTTATAAACTTGGACAGGCCAGGGTGGGCTGTTACTGAAATCAAGTAGAGTTATGTACGTCTCTACAGAATTGGGGTCTAAACATCTTATTGCTAAAACAATATCCATCCCTATTGCTTCGTATTTATAAAAAGGTAGTGGTGGAAGAGAGAGCTGTAGATAGGAAATTTTTTGAAGCTGCTTAAATGGGTTCAGAAGAGATCCCATCATATTTATTGCTAACTTTGGATGCCTGTTTCTTTTGCGTGCTTTGAATAGTCATAACTTCTGATGTTTTCATGATAATAAAGAATCATATCTGATAGAATCATATATCAGTATTCTCTTGTACGAGCCTTCTCACTTACTAGGCAGAGCCATATTTTTCTCAGATCAAATCTTTTATCGTGTTATGCATGAGCATACTTGAATTGGGCTACCAACTTTTTTAGTCTTGTGGAATAAAATAACATTGTCCTTCCAATATAACTCTTGTTATTTTGGTGCAGCGTGAGCCTTTGCTGTTACGACACACTTACAGAGCGCTCTTAAGCAGGTGGAAAAAACTTAATGGGGCTGTGGGTGGGTCTGGAAGCAATGGAAGTCTTCATGCTAATATCAAAGATTAATTTCTTTTAATACTTTTTTGAATTCTTAAAATATATTAAAATGACATTATGAAGCCAGCTTTTCCCTTCTGATTTGTGATGATGTCCACCACAAGTTTTCTTAATTTTACTGTGATGTTCAGACCATGATACGCTTCCATACATACCAGACTGCACTTTGGAGCCCCAGAGCATGCTAAGAGGTAGTGAACAGATCTATTTTATTGGGAGGGACTTCCCCCCTCCAAAGGACAAGCATGTTTCCAAAGGACAAGCATGTTTCCAAAGGACAAGCATGTTTCCAAAGGACAAGCATGGAAGCAGAAACAATGTTATACATACATTGTCCTTTTGATGGCTGATTTCATGTAAGAAATCCCAAGGGGTTTGAAGAATTATATAATATAATTCAGAAAATGAAATGAATGGCAATTTCTTTAATCATCCTGTACTCAGTCTCAGTTAATGTTACAAGATAATACGGGGATTATTGTAGGTTTTCAGCATTTTCAGAATGAGAAAAGCCTTTAGAGGTTCCATAATTCACTGTCCACGGGATCCACAGTTATCTTCTCCAGTAGCTAACAGCTTTATGCATCCTAGCCAGATGTGAGATTTGATGGAGGCAGATTTGTCTCAAAGAGAGTATCAGGATAGATTAATCATGAAATACAACTAGAGTATTGGTCTCCTTTACTGTACAAGGAGTAAAGATGTGTTAATTTTTTACACAAATTATGTAGCATGCTGTGTTCCTGGTAGTTTGAGAACTTACCAAATGTCTCCTTTTTGGACCCAAAAGTGCCTGAAGTGTCTGCAGTGTTGTCTTGTGAGTTATTTTTAATCATTTGCCCACCTAGAACTGCCCTGCTCTGTGTGGCTCAAAAGGTGGCTCCTACTCAAGCCCACTTGCATCCAAATTTGAGGTAGAGTGCAACAAAAAGCCTCTGATGAGTTTATTCTCATAGAAATGCATTCATGAAAACATCCTTAGCGAACGAAGGCATCAAACCTTTTGCAAAAGGCAGACATACTTGCTTTTTGAAAAGTGATGGGAGAAGCAGTTGAAGCGATGTCTGCTAATGATCTTCCCAAGTGCATTCCGGAAAGTCTCATGTGTTCAATTCCCATTTCAGCCTGTGGAGGTTTAGAGCCGCTACTTCAGTACCCAGGAGACTATCCTATGTATTAAACAAGACAGAGAGATGAGAGCAATCCTCATTCTTCCTATCAAGAACGTGCCGTTGTACAGGAAAGAATGCAGAATGTTTGGGCTAGACAGGCCAAAGACCATGACTCTGCAGCCGAATGGCTGGAGCGCACAGCGGGGGGTTCTGGTTCTTCCCTGGGCTGTTTTTGCATTTCCATGGCGCTGTCAAAATTTGGCTCCATGATAACAAAAAAGCAGGTTTAAAGCAAAGTGAACTTTCTGGCTGTCGATGCCATTCTTGCAGTGTATTTCTATTTCTTTTTTCGATTGCATTGTTATAATCTGATCTTCAGAATAAATGGAGGAGATTTTTAATGATACTTTAAAACTATTTAGAGTTGTGATAAAATAGGTGACTCTCTCAAGCTTTCCAAATGTGAAGGTTACCGTCCTGAGCAAGCAATGCCATTATGCCCATCTTAAAAATAAATGTACTTGTCTGTGTATTTGTTCCTCTTTTTAAGTAGTCTTTGAGTGAAGAAATATTTTTTTTTTCCTTTTACTAGACATTGATTTTTCTCACTTGGGGTTGAATGGAACCAAAATTGGAATTCCTGCCTTTAACAACATCCTTTATGAAGTGGTGCATTAATCGTCTTTGTGTAGGGGATGTTTAACAGATTCTGTCAATTTAATGACCCTCTTCTCTTAAGATTTAATACCTACAGTTTCTATGATTATTTTTTTAGATTCCTTCTACTGACAGGGAAGGAAGGAGAACAGATCTGGCTTTCCACTTTGTGTATGGGCTCATTTGAGGTCATGCTTGTCAAAATTTTTGAAAGCGATTAGGGTTTGGGTTTTTTTAGCATAAGTCTCATATTCCCCCGGCTCAGGGTGTACAACATCAGTAACCCGTTCTGGAAGCTGCTGCTGGCAGGAGGCAGATGAAGAGTCAGCTTCCTCTGCTGGGTTGAGATTTTGGGATGAGAGAGGCAAGAGGTAAACGTTTCTTGGAAATGGAAATCTGATGGTAGAGTTACGAAGTTTGACAAGATGCATACGAAGAAATATGGGGCAACAACTATTTGCTTTTTCCTTTGTTATTTGAAAAGTCGGAGCTAAATCCATGGTTTGAGATGTGGTCCTTTATCTCTTCAGTTTCACAGGGAATTTTCTTGCAGTCAGTTATTGAGCGAAGCTCAATGCAGAGCAGGCAAAACTTTTACCAACCATTTTAATGCTGGAATCTTTTACCCTAGATTGAAGGTCTTGCGCTGTTGGAGCCCTAGGGGGGGTGAATTGCTGATGTGTGTAATAACATGTGAGAATCGTGGGTGGATTCTTTCTGCCACACAGTATTCCCAAAGGATAAACATGTTAGCAGAAGTTTCATCTTTAAAAGATACTAAAAAGACGATGTTAAGTCATTTGGATGCTTAGTTGTTGTATTCATAACCGGTGATCAATTTTTCTTTGCTTGTTTGTTTAGCCGTGCCATCAGGAAGGCTGCCTCAGAGTTTTGCCTGAAGTTTGGTGTTGGCTTCTTGTAGCTGTTCATTTATAATATAATCTTGTCAGGAATTTCAAGAACAACATTTGTGTCCTTTCTGTGACAGATGTGTCATTTCTATTATGCTCTTTTTTACCTTGTATTATTTTGAAGTACAAAAAGATGATGTTACACTTTTAAATGTTTTTTCCTTGCTGATCTGTCTGTACTTTTCAGACATGGAAGACGAGGGAATAAAATCACTAATATCATAGCAGGGAAAAATTTGAGAGATACAAAATATTCTGAAGGTACTGCTGGAAGAGAAGACGGTTAAATTAAGATAATCGATCTTATTCTTGTAACTCGTTAAGGGTGAAATTTACCTCTCCGCAGCATCATCACAAGACCTGGGCAGCACTTACATTCCACTTAAACTTAATTTGAATTTAAGTGGTGCACAGGGTTTTTGCTGATCTTCATGCAGGGAAGAATTAACAGATAGTTTGAGTTTTTTTCATTCTGGCAATTATGTTCTGATGTGCAGAACGTGCACATGATTCAGAAAAAAATTCTTCTAGAAACATCAGTAATACCGTGAGGCAAACTTGTGTTTCTAAACAGGAAGATTTATTTCTGTAAAGCAGAGCCTGGTGCCCCCAAAAAGAGCTTTTGAGTGAAGTGTGAAGAGGTAAACGAGGATTTTGTTCTTTGTGACACGATGAATTCATTCTTTCTTCCCAAAGGCTACCAAAGCTCACATAAAGCTCAACACTAAGAAGCTTTACCAGGCAGATGGCTATGCAGTGAAGGAGCTGCTAAAGGTCACCTCTGTGCTTTACGGTGCTATGAATACCAAGGGAGTGGAACGTGCAGATGTGAGTGAGGAAGACAGCAGCAAGTTCAAGTTTGATCTTGGCTCAAAAGTAAGGAAAACTTGTACTCTTGTTTTGGGCAGGGGTTTTGTGTTGACTCATGAAGAACAAACCCATTTTCTATCTGAAACTGAAGTAGAGAATGTTCTCGCAAGGGAGCGGGTATGGTTTTAACTCGTATTTTCTGTAGTTGAGGTTATATGCTATGATTTCTTTTAAACTCTGTGAATTCTCAACCAGAAGCATAATAAAAGGCAACAGTGGCACAAAATTGGTTATCTTTGGTTTGGACTGCTGTTGAAATTGTAGAGGTGTTGCAGCAGGCTGCAATAAAGACTATTTTCTACCTACTAACCTTGCAACAGGAGGAGTTTGCACTCAGACTCCAGTGGACATCATCTTCAATAATGTAGTAGGGTTTTGGCCACTGTGCTGACCTCCTATGTAATTTGAACATCAAAATGGGAAAAACCTGTCGTGGGTTTTCTTTGTGACATGGGGGATTCTCTTTTGCTATTCAGTGCTGTTGCTGTGTTTCCAGATTGCTGACTTGAAGGCAGCTAGACAGCTTGCTTCCGAAATTACCTCCAAAGGAGCGAGTCTGTACGACTTACTTGGCAAAGAAGTTGAACTAAGGGTAAGTACACGCTGGAGGGTGTGTTAAGGACTTGTGTTCACTGGGTGCTGCAAAGGAAAAAGGTGAAAAACACATCAGCAGTTCTTCTTAATGGCTGCATCTAAAATGAATATTCTGTGAGTTTGAAGGAATAGGTCGGAAAGTTTGCATTTCCTTCCCACTTATATTCATATTCAGGGGAGGTTTAGATGGGACATTTGGAAAAGTTTCTTCCCTGAAAGGGCTGTCAAGCACAGGAAGGGGCTGCCCAGGGAAGTGGTGGAGTCCCCAACCCTGGGTGTGTTTAAAAGCCGGGCAGACGAGGTGCTTGGGGACAGGGTTTAGTGGTGGGATGGCAGGGTTAGGGGAATGGTTGGGCTTGATGATCTTAAAGGGCTTTTCCAACCTAAACGATCCTGTGATTCTATGATTCCATACCTGGATTGCAGTAAGCATGAGAAAACAGTTTGGCATTTTCTCTAGCAGGCAACTGAAATGCTCTCTGTAGAACTGTTTGGAGAAATTCACTTTATATGTACGTTTTAGTGGTGGGGATGGATATATTCTGAAAGATAAATGATTAATGCCGTTAGTTTTCCAAGTGCAAGGCTCATTATTTCTGTTAAGGTAATTGAAGGCCTCGCAAGCCTGCAGGGTACATATTCTTAAGCTTAGTTATAAAACCACAAGCTATTGCATGAAGTCATGGAAGCATCGTGAAACACTGCCCGTAAGTCTTTCAATTATTTTCTTAAATGCATTTATCTGCAATGCTGGAGGTTATTCATTTTCTGAAAATAGGCGTGTAAAGAAGGGAAACCCTGAATGCGCTCGTACTGGGTTTGGTTATCTTCAGATTTGCAGTATCTGAGCTGTAGGAAGCGCACCGTCTAAGAGCCGTACTCTGTATGCCTTGACGATTAATGCTCCCAGATCCTTGCTTGATGGAGTACAAGTGTTTCAAAGGGTAGGTGATACCCAGGGAAGCTTATCTGGGGAACTCTGCCTTTTCTGCTAGATGCGTAAGTCAGCATGCTAGGCAGCAGCGTGAAAGGCATTAATAGTTCAGAAGGGAGAGAAAATGATAAGCCAGTTTAATTCAACATACACGATTTTCACAAAACTGTTAATCAGTTGCTTCTCACCTTGCATTCTTTTCTTAATTTCTTGGCTTTGAAACAGTTTCCACGCGAATGCTACCTAATGTGTTAATATTTGCTTCGGAGCATTAAACCCTTTTTTCTGTGTGCAACATCCTGAAGAACTCCACTAAAAAGTCAAGTAGACGTCAGTATAAAGCAGCATTTTTTTAAAAGTACTCAAGCATTGGTTTGAAATTGGGCGTTGTTTAATCACTTTAAATCAAGGATTTTAGGAGTCCAACTGACTAGAACTAGGCCCTAGAAAAGCAACTTGCACAAGTGCAGCGTGCTGAAAGCATGAAGTGAAAAATCAGGAGACGAATGAGTGCTTCAGTGCAGCCACTTCTCGTTGGGTCCATTAAGAAATCTTCAATGGAAGACTGTTTAAAGGTGCAATTTCTAAAAGTACGATATTTCTTATATACAGTAGCAAGCGCGTGTTTCTTGTGGCGTAATGACTAGGCGCACAAGATGGGGTTAACTAGTCCTATATAGGTACACAGCTTATATTTTTGAAAAAGGTTTGACAGATTGAACTTGTCTTTAAGAAATCCCATCTTGGGAAGGATGACCTTTGCTTCTGTCTCATTAGCTCTGAGTTTATATCCTAAAGGCACAAGGTGACACTATGACAGCACAGTGAGAACCTCCAGAGAGCAGTGGGAGACACTTTCATGCTCTGTTCCTTATGATTTGTGACTGATTCCAGCTTTCTTCAGTGATTTGTTAAACCTGAAGAATCCTTTTTTGACTTGTGTGATAAATGCCAAGGTTGGTACGTAAGCGTGTGACAAGTTTCAGACTTTGAGCCTGTATTTCAAAGCAAATAGGTTTCAGGTTAAAAGCCATGAGGCTGCAGTAACCAGTTGTTCAATGGAATTTTTCAAGTTTACCTTTTTAATCATAAGCACCCACCTCTGCCTTTCACTTGAAGTATGAAATTCGCTCATCAAATGAGAGGCTTCAAGCCAGATGCTGCTGTTCTCTTCCATTGCTGCTAGGTCTGATAATGCCCACGGAAGGCAGTGGAGCTGCAGTTCTTGCTAAGTAGCCGCCAGTGTTGAGGGCAGTAAGGAATTGCTCTTCTTCATTTCATGCATCTTCCCTGGATCCTTCACAGAGTTGGTGAGGTGCTCAGAAGATCACAGGGATGGCATCCTCTGCCTGCCCCTCTCACCCGATTCCAGATGGGCAGAAGTAGAAGTGCAGTTAATTCTAGCTTCTTGTGGGGGGTTAGAGCTTTGTCTGTAGATATATCAAATTAGTTGCCATTAATCTAAAGTTACTTTCATTATTTTTTTAGTGTGGAGATTATTGTTTTCCATTGCTTATTGTGGACAAGCACAGTGTAGGTTATTGGTGTCCTGTGGCAGTGCAGTGGTGGAAACACAGAATTTTTATTTTAAAATGCATTTAAGCCTTACATTTGCAAGATAGGTTGCAGTTACCAGTCTTTCTGGTCCAAGTCTTAGAGCACAGAAACTGCAAAGTTGGAATTCATGGAGTGTAGTGGAGTTGATGAATAAATTTTGGTACAACACAGTGAGATCCCTAGATGAAAAGCAAATTCCATGCACGGAGACGTATGCCTTCATCTTCATTGTTTCTTTTACTGCCAGGGGGATTTTTCTGTGCATTGCATTACTATGTAGCCTTGATTTTCAGAATATTTACAACTAACTTTGGCAGAGTAACTAGACACTTTGACTTCTGGTTTTCTTTAATCTGTTTTCTAGGGGTTCTTTTTTTGGATGGGGAAGGTGGAGGTTGATTTGAATTTGAGGTGGGGATGGGAGATTTTGTTTGGATTTCTTTCTTCATACACAATACTAAATGCTTCGGATGATCAAAAGAAGCAGAAGTTGAAAATACCAGTGCTGTGATTAAGCCCGTCAAGCCCTACATCAAGAAAAGCAGCAATAGAATTGATGTCAGTCCTCGGGCAAAATGCGAGCATTGCTTCACTGTGCGTTCGGTGTGGGTTTCAGGTGTGGTGTCTGCCTCTGGACCTACACAGCTAACTGCTGCAGCCTTGTACATGGCCAAAAAGTGTTAGAAAAGTCGGTGGTCCCCTATGTCCTGTAACAGCTGGTGACCGGGGAAAATGGCGAGACGAATCGGGGGGAGGGAGGGGTGATGAGGTGCTCCACGTAATTCTTCAGCACAAAATAAAGCAGTAATTACTTTCAAGGTCAGTTCTGATCAGTTGAGGAAGGATGCTCCTGAGTTAATGTACATGGAACATCCGACATCCAAAAGGAAAAATTCAGGGCTATTTATACCACCTCAGCAAAGCTGACTGCTGCTGAGTGCCTGCCACTTTGCATCTGCTAGGGGTCCAGCGGACACATTAGCAGGAGCCTGTCAAGAAGCTGCCTTGCTTAAACTTGCTGAATTATTAGACGCAGCAAGATAACAAAGCAAAAAAAATTCCAGCATAAAACCGCCTCTCTGCTGGTGGCAGGCATAAAGATTTCTGATCCTCTCAAGGTTGCTTTCATTTTATTTACCTCTTAATTATCTCTAAGCCATGTAAAACTGAAGAAAGATGAAAATACTTTTTTCTTTTTAATGTACTTGGCTTGTGCTGAAGACGGGCAACACAGTGGGTCTGTTTTCTAATGCTCCTCTTGGCACTTACTCCATCTGTGACCTTGAACAAAGTGTTTATTCCCTGTGTATCCCCTTGTGTAAATAAACTAATTTCTGTAATTTTGTAGATTAAAGCTTTTAACAGCCAGATAAAGTGTTTCCCAATCTGTGGAGGATAAATTTCTAAGTACAGGGTATTGCTACGAGCGTTAGGTATGCACGCGGTATAAGCTTGTTCCAAAACTGATGGAAGTCATTGGGAATCTCTTTACTGATTGCAGTTTGTGAAACGCTTGAATTAAACACTTAGGAGAGCCAAAGGCATTTAGATCCAGCTGTGGAGCTGAGACGGAATTAGTTACAAGGAAAAGAGCTGCCACTAAAGACGTTTAACATGGATTTCTTTATTGGCAGCTTTTTGATTAAAGAACCCTTCCCCCCTGCCTTCCCCGCGGCCACTGCTGTAGCTTGCTGCCTGCTCTTTCTGTAGAGGGGTAGGTCTGATCCGAGGGACGGCTGGGTTATTCAGTACTCTTGGAAAGTTAGCTACAAAAAAATTATTTTATTTGTAATGTTGGAAACGTTTTCCGTCTGCCAAATGTTAGTTCTGTGTACGAGATTTCGCCTGGAGGAGGCTGATAAATTAATTTCTCTCACTTCCTGGGCTTTGGTTACAAAATTGCCACACATGATTTCTAGGAGAAATTTGTAGCTTGAAATTGCCAGAACTCTGGAGAATTACTTAGTTTGCTTCCATTTTTTTGAACTGTCCTGCATCTGACCAAAACGTAACCGATCAGTTCTGAGGAAGAGGGCTTACTGCAAAGTGGGAAGCCAAAATTAAACCTTGCAACTGCAAGGTGCAGTGGAATCAATACTGTCCTATATTTTAGATTGCTTTAACGATAACCATGGTTATATGCTCCATGGATATAGCATTTGTGGGTGTGTTTTATGGAAGAAAGGATTTTGTAGTGAACTTCCCAGGAGTATTTTGCTTGACAGCTTAGCATCAGCTATAAATTGATGGGCGGCCCAGTTCTTGTTGCAGTTTGGGGACTGGTTGTGTCAGTGCATCGTTAATTTTGTCAGCTCGATGGAAGATCTGAATTCTTGTGGCTCGGTTCTAGACCGTTCTAGTTTGGCAGGGAAGAAAATCATGTTTGAACCATTTTTTATGTGTCGCAGCATTTGTCAAGGCCTGTATGAGTCTGCAAGAAGTTCCACTTCATTGGGCTAAATCAGCAGCACTGAATATCTGGTGAAGTTTTGGTTGTTCAGTATTCC